GATCAAAATACGGATAAGGATGGCAATAAATACTGTATAACGTTACACATTAAAAATCGGGCGTTACTTTGTGACGCTGTCCCAGCTATATGTCCCAACTATATGTCCCAACTATGTCCCATCAGTGTCCCATCAGTGTCCTAACTACAACACTGCCGCCAACAGCATATTCCATCACTAACCAATAAATTTCACGTCATTTTGAATTTTTTTTTTTTTTTTTTTTTTTTTTTACAAAAAAAATTATATATATATATATGAGTTACAAATAAATAATATAAAAGGATAAATAACCATTTTAAAATTTTATACCTATATTTGATGTAATCCCAAAAAAAAGCGGATGATATTACTATGATAATTAATCCCCAAACTAAATTATGAATAAATAAATTTTAGTTTTTTTATTTTTACTTTAAACTGAAATAAGATATATATTAATTACCTCGCGAACAAGTACTTTTACAGTGCATCGTTAAAGGTATGAAAGGATTTTAATGCTAGCTTCGAACTTTTCAAATTTGCGCGATCGATAGACTTTTCCAAAGCCTGTACCGCCTGTACCTATCTTTTGAAAATCAATAAAATGTTTCTTTTTATAAAATTTGATATTTTTTCTTAAAATATGTTCATCATTCCAATTAATCAATTCGTTTGAAGTATTGTCAATTTTTCATTTTTATTTTTAAAGAAAGAAATTCACTTGGTAGATCACGTAACGTTAACATTAGCTACCAGTTTTGTTTTTCGATCGGCAAGTATCTCAATAAGTTAAATTTTGTGACACAGTGGATAGCTAGCTGCACAATTCGAGCTTGATGCATTATTCGTTAGTTTCAAAAGAGCACTTATCTAACTCGATGAATCAAAGATATTATGCAATTCATTTGCATATTTGCTACCATTCTTTCCTGAACAATTCGCACTTCGCTTACAAACATCAAAAAGTATTATTTTTTGGTTCGAATAGGAAAAATTATAATGTGAATTCCTTCCATGAGAAAAGTTACGTTATTTTTGAGTGATTTCAAGACAAGAGCATTCTTTGAAAATAAAATTTGTGAAATTCATTTTTGAAAGGTAATTTGACGATTTTTTAAAAACCAAAAGATAAAATTTAGCCAATCCCATGCTTGTATTGAAGTAACACGAACATTTTACTATATTCGGAAAAATCTTCGATTAGTTTTAAGTTCAATACATGAAATATTTTCTTTTTTATTTTTACGAATAAGGATGACGTAAAAATGACGGCCTCAGCCCATTGTGTCAAGGTTTAATGCAAGTCATGCCATTATATAATATAAGTATTTATATTTGTTATTATTATTATTTTTTTTGTCACATTTCTCGTGTGACAATAATAATATAATAAAACGATTCATTTAATTTTATAAAATTGGTTTTGTATCACGGAAAAAATTTTTATTGAATCAGATTAGATTAGTTTTCAAAAAGCAAACTTTGTTATTTATATATAATTACTATATACAATATTTTTTAAACAAAATGGATTATTTATAAAATCTCACATCCTTGATTCTAAAATATTAATTAATAAATATTTACGTCGAATTTAAATTTTTTACTGTTACTGCTTTCATCTATTAACATTTTTGAAAAAAAAAAAAAAAATAATTAAATACATTGATCATCAAGTTACTTAAAAATAAAAAGAAAAATAATATACCATTGATATCATCATCACGAATATTGTTGTCAAATTTTCTTTTACCTTTTAACAAGTATAAAAGATTATTAGAATTATATAAGAAGAAATATTTTTTGAAGATAATTGTTACATTAAAAAAGACTTACCAACAAGATAACGTTCAGCCTTAACACACCCATTTGAAGCAGCTAGTTGAAACCAATATGAGGCCTTTTTCAAATTCATTTTAATCCCTTCACCTTCATAATATAAAAGTGCAAGTTGATATTGCGCATCTTTGAAATTACGTTTTGCTGCTTTTTTATACCAATAAAAAGCTTTCTCGACATTTTTTTCTGTTCCTTCGCCTTTATAATAATATCTTGCAAGACTATCTTGCGCTTCCTTCTTTCCATTTTCCGCGGCTTTTTGATACCAATAAAAAGCCCTTTCTAAATTCTTTTCTGACCCCTCACCATCTTCATATAACAATGCAAGATTATATTGTGCATCTACGAATTCACGCTCCGCTGCCTTTTGATACCAATAAAATGCCATTGGAAAATTCGTTGCTGTTCCTTCACCATTTTCATATGATAATGCGAGATTATATTGCGCTTCGACATGTCCATTTTCGGCCGACTTTTTATACCAATTAAAGGCCCTTTCTAAATTCTTTTCTGTTCCTTCGCCATTTTCATATGATAATGCTAGGTTATATTGTGCAATCTCAAACCCTTCGGCTGCTGCTTTTCGATAATAATGTAAAGCCTTTTTCAAATTTTTTTCAACTCCTAAACCATTTTCGTACATTAACCCAAGGCTATTTTTTGCTTTGGAGCTTCCCTTTCTTGCTGCTTTTTGATACCATTGAAGGGCCTTTTTAAAATTTTTCACACCTTCGTTATTTTCATAAAAACTGCCAATATTATTAAGCGCTTCAATACTTCCATTTTTTGAAGCTATTTTATACCAATATAAGGCTTTGTTTAAATTTATTGTAGTTCCTTTACCATTTTCATATGATGATGCAAGGTGGTTTTGAGCTTCTACATATCCATTTTCTGCTGACTTGCGATACCAATAGAATGCCTTCGCTAAATTCTTTTCTGTTCCCCTACCATGTTCATATAATAATGCAAGATGATCTTGACCTTCTATATTTTCATTTGATGCAGATCTTTCATACCAATAAAATGCCTGCTCTAAATTCTTTTCTGTTCCTTTGCCATTTTCATATAACGATGCAAGGTTAAATTGTGCTTTAGAATTTTCACCTTCCGCTGATTTTTTATACCAATAAAAGGCATTTTCTAAATTCTTTTCTGTTCCTTCCCCATTTTCATATAATAATGCAAGATTATATTGCGCGACTCCACAATCACCTTCTGCCGCTTTTTTATACCAGTGAAAAGCCTTTTCAAAATTCGTTTTTGTTCCTTTACCATTTTTATAAGCATAACCAAGGTTAAATTGCGCTTTAACAAATCCATTTTTTGCAGCTGTTTTATACCAATACAGAGCACTTTTTAAATCTTTTTCAACAAGTTCACCATTCTCATACAAATATCCAAGATTATTTTGCGCTTCTATATTGTCATGTTCAGCTGCTTTTTTATACCAATGAATGGATTGTACTAAATCTTTTTCTGTTCCTTTGCCATTCTTGTAACATATGGCTAAATTACACATTGCGGTTTCATCATTATTTATTGCCGCTTCTTTATACCAATGGAATGCTTCTTTTAAATCCTTTGATACACCTTTACCACTTTCATATAAATAACCAAGGTTATTTTGGGCTTCGACGTTTTCACCCTTGGCGGCTTTTTGATACCAATAGAAGGCTTTTTCCAAATCTTTTTCCGTTCCCTTGTCATTGTAATATAAATTTGCAAGACTAAATTGTGCTGCAACAAATCCATTTTCCGCTGCTTTCTTATACCAATAATATGCTTTTTCTAAATTATCCTTTATTTCTTTATTGTTATAATATAATTCTGCAAGATTAAACTGCGCCTTTATATTTCCATTCTCAGCTTCTTGATACCATTTAGAATGATTTTCAAAACATTCAACTATTTCTTCATTTTCATCTATTATCTCATCATTTTCAAATGAAGTTATAGGATCATTTTCACATTCAGTTTCCATTATTTCACTGTCTTTATGGTAAAATGTAACATAATCTTGCGTATCATTTTCAATCTCTGCTACTTTTTGACACCAATAAGCGGCTCTTTCTAAATTTCGTTCAGTTCCTTCACCATTTTTATATAATTTATACAAATTTTTCATTGCTTCAATATTTCCTTTTTCCGCAGCTTTTTCATACCAATGAAATGCTTTTTCCAAATCTTTTTCTGTTCCCTCACCCTCGTAATAAAAGCTTGCAACATTATTTTGAGCGTCAATACTTCCATTATTGGCTGCCATTTGATACCAGTAAAGGGATGTTTCTAAATTCTTTGCTACACAACTACCACTTTTATATAGAAAGCCGAGTTTATTTTGTGATTCCATATCACCATTCTCTGCGGCTTTTTGATACCAATAAAAGGCTCTATTTAAATCTATTTCTTCACCTTCGCCATTTTCTAATAAATAACCTAGTCTATTTTGTGCTTTGATATTTTTATTTTCGGCCGATCTCTGATACCAATAAAATGCTAATTTTAAGTCTTTCATTGTGATGATATTATAATATAAGTTTGCAAGATTAAATTGCGCCTCGGCCAGTCCATTATCTGCTGCTTTGTTATACCATTCGATTGCCTTTTCCAAATCTTTCCCCGTCTCTGTACCATGTTCATATGAATGACCAAGATCATTCTGCGCCTCAATATCTACATTTTCTTCTACCTTTAGATACCAGTACATGGCTGATTCAGGATTCTTTTTTATTTCTGTTCCATCTTCATATAATTGAGCAAGTTTCATTTGCGCAAAAATATTCCCATCTTCTGCTGTTTTCTGATACCAATAAAGAGCCTTTTCTAAATCCTTTTTTGTACCTTCACCAAGATGATAAAACTTGGCTAAACAATAAATCGCATCATTATTATTATTATCCACCGCCTTTTTACACCAACAAAAAGCATTATACGAATCTTTCTCCGTTCCTTCGCCATTTTTGTAACACATGGATAAATTCAACATTGCGATTTCGTGATCGTTTTCCGACGCCTCTTTATACCAATGGAAAGCTTTTTCTAAATCCTTCTCTACTCCTTCACCATTTTTATACGCCAATGCAAGATTAATTTGCGCACTAACACTTCCACTTTCAGCTGCTTTCTGATTCCAGTATAAGGACTTTTCCAAATTCTTTTCGGTTCCTTCACCGTTTTTATAACATGTAGCCAGATTTTTCATCGCAACGGATAAACCATTTTCCGCTGCCCGATTATACCAAAAAAAGGCCAACTCAAAATTTCGTTCGATTCCTTTATTATTTTTGTATAAATGAGCAAGATTATTTTGAGCTTTAATGCTTCCATTTTCGGCTGCTTTTTGGTACCAATGAAAGGCAGATTCGTAACTCTGATCTACTCCTTCACCATTTTCGTATAAATAACCAATATTAAATTCAGCTTCAATAGATCCATTACTAGCAGCTTTTTGATACCAAAAGAAGGCTTTTTTTAGATCTCTTTCTATCCCTTCATCAAGCTCATATAATCCTGCGAGGTTATTTTGCGCGGCCTTGTTACCCTTTTCCGCCGCTTTCTTATACCAAAAGAATGCTTTTTCTAAATTCCTCTCCGTCCCTTCACCATTCTCATACGCATAACCGAGTTCATTCTGTGCGGCAGGACTACCATTCTGAGCGGCTCCATGTATCAGATGAAATGCCAAATCATGATTCATATCCGTTCCAAATTTTCTACTATAACATCTGCTTAAATAAACTTGAGCTATAGGATGAGTATTTGCGGTTTTTAAGAAGCACATGAAGCCTTCGCTATGATTACCATCAGAGCCAACATCGTAATAATGAAGGATTCCAAGGAATAAAACGCTTTTTGATTGTGTATGATGGCCTTTGAGCCATTCGAAGAAGTCTTTTGTCGATCGACCGTATTCAATGATTTTTTGAATAATTAAATTCTTTGTCTCTATAAAAGTTTTACCATCATTTTGTGATTCGATCAAGATTGCGAATAATAAATCAATTAATAAAGAATAACTCGACATGTTTATTGTATGAGTATGAAAGTGTGATATAACAAAAAAAAAAAAAAATTTTTTTTAAAAATTTGATTTTTAAAAAAAGGAAAAAAAATTTATAAGGACAGGTAAGGAACTTTTTTTTTCTTCTTTACGTTACGATATGAAAGTTGAACACGAAAATTGATAAATTTTTTTTTTTTATAAAAAAAAAAAAAAAAAAAAAAAAAAAAAAAAAAAATGGTGGTTTTAAGAAGAAAATTGAGGAATGAATCAAGTTTGAAAAAAGTGAACAGTAAAAGAATTTCCGGAGTTTTTATACATTTTTCCAAGATATGCTACACAATGATCCATATGCGGATTTAAATCAACCAAACACATATTTGCATGAGATGTTCGCGGGAAGGATTTAAAATGGAAATGTGATTTTGGATGTTTGCGCCCGCCATAAATAGCATAGTTTTATTTTTTTGTTTTTTTATTTGTACGGTCGTTCAAATTTTATTTGTCATCAGCTTATCTACATAAATTTAAGGAATTTATTTTCTCTTACATAATATAAAGTTAATTTTAAGGTTTATTAATTTTGATGTGAACATTTATTTTTTTTTTTATTCTAGAATTTCTAAAAATACAAAAAAAGGATTCTTCTCCTTTTTTCTCTTTTTCCACCAATAAATGGTTTCGTTTTAAAATTTTGTATTTGTATCGCCACAAGGGGTTCCAAAGAATTTTTTTTTTTTAAAAAAAAAATCGTTGTTTTTGAAACCAATATAAAAAACATTTATGTAATAAAAAAAAGGGTAAAAAAAATTTATTTTTTTATTTTATAAAAATTAAACGACAAATTGTGAAAATATAATCATGTCATTGAGAAAATGTAATTAATGATTTATTTGTAATTGCATGTTTATAATCGTTCAAACAGAAAATGAAACGAGTAATTTAATTTGTGCGACCTAATTGTTTCAAAAAAAATTTTTTTTTTTTAAAGAATCCGAATGGTTTTTTGCACACAAAAAAGATATATAACATGCTAACCTAATAACGATAAGTGATAATGTCAAAAAAGCCTAGTTTAACCGATGTCTTTTTTTATCACATCACAAGCATGTTGAGCATCTACTGTACATACATGTAATTCATGTAGTAAAATGAAAGAATGACAATCAATTGTATCGATATATATTTTTTTTTAGCTTAAAAGTTGAAAATCTAAATCTTTTGTCCCTGAAGATCAACTTTATTATCGTCAGAGAAAATTATTTATAGTTTTATTTTTTTTTTTTTTTGAAAAGGAGGGAGACAATTTTTTTTTATGTGATAACTTGATTTGAATTTTTATATGTTAATGAGTTTTCTTTTGGTAAAATGATTAGTTATATTTAGTTAGAATGCAAAATGTCGGAAAATATTATAATTATTTATGGATCCATTATACTTTAATCGGAAATCATAATACTTTTTTAGGTAAAGATTATGTTTACAATTTGACGCCCATATCAAACGGAAGTACACCCCCAATATTCATAACACGGATGTTTACAGATGCAGTAATGAGTCGCTTAAAAGAATTAAATCTTTTTTTTTGTTAAAATTAAAATTCAATTAAAATATATATTTCAAAATATTTGGACAAACCATAATAAGGTGGTTATTTAATGTTTAGAAAAAAGTAATTTTTTTTATGCATTACATTAACTTTCGAGAGATATTTTAGAACCAAAGGTTCCATAGATTTTAACGGCACCGTTGAATATAAACTATATGTAATAAATTGTTCCAAATTCGAAACTGTATCAAAACAAGTTTTACCCACGACTGTAATTGGATCAAATTTTAAAGTTTTCATTCGCCGAGTAGAAAGAAAAATGTACTACAATGTGTTGCACTAACAAGTAAAGAACAAATAATTTATTAATTATTACAGCAACTTCTCACTCTTGACATGTCAAAACCTTTCAAAGTTACAGATTCTACGTGGACAATACGTTCGGTAGACCCATGTGTTGCAAATTATACACATAATTTAGGTGGGGAGTATTCTAAGGCAATACCAGAAAATCCATTATTTGTTTCAATACTTTGGAGTAATCCACTGAATGAATTAATATATAAGTTTAAATCCATTAAGGGAATTTTCATGATGGTATTGATGCATGACATCCCTGACGTTTCAGCAAAAGTTCAAGATTTTCATCATGCCGCAACAATCCTTCCATATGGAAAGATGTGTAATTGAAGGTATTCCGTGAGCTAATTTACGTTTATTATACAATATATGAAGTATAGGAAAATGTTTGGGTATATTAAATTTTGATGGATTCTATATTTAAAGTCTATTTTTAATCAAGTACGCAATTAATGCTTTGCATTCAATACGTAGAGAACATGACGCAGTAGGAAGTATATTTTTTATCTTATATAAAAAACTAATTAAGATGATTTTTAATTTGTAGCGCAAGATGGTAGAATGATTAAACATGGCGGTGTTAATGTGGATTACAGTATACCCTATAATGGCAACGCGATTTTGGATACGACCATTTAACCTTTTACTTGGAACATTCCTGAAGTGAGGGGCAACTACGATCATTGGAACTAACAAGTTAAAACTTGGATTAATAATTGGTGAAATTATTTTACTCTTTTTAGTATTGGTATCTGAAGAACAAGTCTCTAAAGTTCTAATGAACAATCTTCAAAATCATTTTGGTGTATTAAATGGTTCCGAATAGCATTCATGATTATTTAACTTGTTATGTATTATTAATTTGCATTTATAACAATTTCCAGCAAACTCAACTTTTTGACGTTTATTAAAATTCATAACCTAGATTATGTAAATAAAACTTTTGTGTAAAAACTTTTTTAAAAGATAAAAGTAGTAAGTTTTATTGCAAAGTTTCGTTTTAATGTTAGTTTTTTTACCTTAAAGTAAAAAAAAAAATTAAATAACAAATAAAATTTACTTTGGATTATTATAAATTGTTTACTTCAGAATTATCAAATTTTCCCGGCACAGTATTAAATTGGGAGTGTAAGCATAACAAATAGCTCTATAATTATAACGACAACAATATTTTATATATCAATTTATTTTAATTAAATTTTTTTTTTTTATTGAGTTCTATTCTATTCGAAATTTTAGGAATTTTAAATTGTTCGATCGATATTGCTTTCAGGCTCAGAATTGATCATCGTTTTTAGACATTTTACGATTTATTTATTTTATTATAAAAAAAAATTTTTTATTAAAACATATGAACATATGGGGCCTTTGCAATAGAAGGGGGGAAACTGCCGGAAAAAATCAATTTTACTTTATCAAATATGATTTTTAGGCTGAAATATGTTCAAATTTAGCATTAACTTAGCCAGATTTAGGTTAACCTACAACAGTTTCTTCTGAACACCGCGTTAGAGGTGGCAAGCTTCGTTCAGGTTAAAAAAAAGTTGAGTCATTTGAGGTGAAAATAAAGAAAATGCATACGAATATAATAATGTTATAAAATAAATATAAAAATTTCACCTCAAAACATTATCGAAATTTTTTAAAAAAAGTTCTAAACTACAAAATACGGATGAAGTGGCTAGGGTGTCCAGGACGCGTTTCAAAATTCGAGCGTGATTTTATCGCAAAAATCGCGCAAAAATCGCGATTATAATTCCGGCTGAAATCAACATAATTTCAGAGTAAAAATCAACACAAAATCGTAAAAAATTGTGATCAACAAATAATGTTGGCCAAAGGGGGGATTATTTTAAAATCAAAAAAAGGAAAGAGAAAACAGACAACTTCATATAATAGATACGACACACCGTAGTATCGTAGTCATGCTTATCAAAAGCATCCTAGTGAAAGTTTGTCAAAGGGGGAGTAGAATTTTTTTTTTTTTGAAAAAATAGTATTTTGTGCCAAGACCAAAAAAGAAAGAGAGGTGACCAAGTTAAAAACGAAGGGGGAAGGGGTAAAAACCATAATCAATGGCAACATAGATTGGCTCTGGCCATTGACTAGGTGGGGAATATAAGGGGTCTTAACAAAAATGCCAGGTGGATCAAGATCCATCGGCTCTGGCCACCTAGAATAACTACGAATACGAGCAATAGGGCGAGGTTGGTTGTGGTAACGGGAGCGGGAGGGGGAGGGACTGAAACTAAAGGAGGTGGAGGAACTGAAACAAGGGGAGGGGAGGAACTAAAACAATGGGGGGTACAGAACCAACAGCTGTAGACGGATCAGAAGAAGTGACAGCTGCAGAAGAATAGGGAATAAAAGAAGATACAGCTGTCGAAGAAGGTCTTGGCACAGTTCTACGCATTTGTCGTATTAATCTTCGTTGAAACATTTTTTTATATAATTCCTAAAAAATAATTTATAACCATTTTTTAATATTCTTTAAACCTTCTTTCAAATCTTTCAAAACGTTCTCTTTTTCAGAAAAATACTGATACATACCAAATCGCAAAATGTTTTGGAATGAAGGTGACATACATGGTTTGGAGATCCGTTTTATAACTTTTCTAATTATACGAATATGACGATCAAAAATAAACGAGACGTCCATTTAATGGATTAGATCAATCTTCTCACGGGTTACGTCATCAATTGTAAATATGGCATATCCGAAATGTGTGACAGGTTACCTTATATGGATAAGATCTACACTCGAGTCAAATTGTTTTCCCTTTCTAATCGTTGTTTCGTTTCTCTGTTATGAGGTTATAAACGAAACTTTGAACCTATTTTTTGTTACCAAAGTGCAAACTAGATGTTACGATCCACTTTTGTTTGTTGATATTTTATGCTGAAAAAAGTTTCATGTATTGTAGATTTATTTTTTTAAAAAAAAATAATTTTTGATCGAGGGGATGGATGCTTAGGACTGTTTCCAAATTAATATTGTAAAAAAAGTATAAACTATTATAAGCTTCATTGCATGAAATTTACATTCTCATAACATGCAAATATTTGATGACGAGTTTCTATATTTAGGTAACGTGACCTCTGAAGCGAGAAGTTTAAATAGACGTTCAAAATTTTTTATATTTATTTAAAAATATTTGAAACTATACCCTCATTTATTATCTTATTAAAGACTGTGCATTACGAAATTAATGTTTAAAAAATTTACTGATAACTTTCTCATTTTATTATTTTATTGGCATAACAAATTAATCCGAATCCAATTTTTTGCCATTTTCGTTAAACTTTATGAGATAGAAAATGTTTAATGTAATCTAACAACATTTATGATAACAAAACAAAACAAGATTTTAAAAAGCTTGAATTTATAGAATGAGAATACGATTTAATAGATCCTCAAACTTAATATATACGTAATTTATTCAAAAAAAATTTTTTTTCTTTACAACATATATGATTTACCGCATTTAACATAAAATAAAATTCTTTCTAAAACTATTGTTTTTAATATTATAAAAGAATGAGACAAGCTTTACTCATCACCGGTTAAAACAGCAACAACTGAAGCAACAACCGCTGCTAACATATGACGATATATGAACATTTTTAATTGGAATTTTCTTTAAAAAATTGGTAAAAATACATGGCAACAAAAAAAAACGATATTATGCAACTCGCCACGAAACTTTGTTCACTTGGCTCTGAGATATAGTATGCCGATTACCATCGCTGGCAATGTAAGAAATGCCAAAGATAAGGCGCCTTGAGGATGCTACGATCCTGTCGAATTGTGATTGTATACAGTCTATTAGTATTAGTTATATCCTGGCTAATTGGAATAGTAAAATTTTACTTAGAATCAGAAGATATAACTGATTTATCTCCTAAAGTTTACGTAATGATCTCGTAAATTTACATAATTATGCATTATTATAAAATTTAAGCTTGCTTATTTTGACGTAAATATATAAGAGTAAATTATAATTACTAAATTAAATTTCTTTTTTTCTCATGGCAGGTTTTATAAAAGTGTACTGGGAAATTATTCATCAATGAATTTATTTAATATAGAATAGTGTTAAAATTATTTCATTTAGATAATGACATTCGTTAAATCATTTATATTGCTGTATATTCAGTCCCTCTTTTTTTTTTAATAGCAGCCACTTGATTTTCTAATATAAATGTCCGAAATAATATAATCGAATTTTATATCCTCTTGTGGATAAAAATCAGTCATATTTTTTCGCCATTTTTCGTTGCTTTTTCGGTATTTTGAGCACTTGAATTATTTTTTTGATAATTGAAATTGCTTTTTCTAGTTCAATAATACTTTTTGATGTTGGGTTGTAAATATTATTTAGAAGCTAACGGATAGTTTTAATTGTTTATTATTATATGGTTTCGTTTTAATTGCTAAAAGTTTATTTATTGATAAAGTTAGTAAGTAACACATGATATATTTATTACGAAATCATTTTTATCATGGGCGTTACATGAAATATATTAGTTATTCATCATGAATCTATTAATAAAATATCAACTTTCTCTATAATAAATTTTAATATAAACGTGAATTTTCGATCATTTTGCACGTGTGTAACACAACATTGATAACTAAAATACTAAAATGTTTTTTAACTTCCACTTAACCAATAAGATAACGCTACCCTCTCCGCTTTATCAATTATCGATTATTAAAAGGGTATGAGAAATGATATATTAATTGATTGTTCTTTCAAAAACTTTCCCACATACTCGCAAAGTAACTAAAGATGTCAACCTCTTTTTATGGCGATTACTACTCTAGCTCTTATAATGTTAGAAGAATTAGGAAAAGTAACAGTCCAGAAACCAGTGGTATGTAATGTTCTACTTCGTTTAAAATCCCTGGAGGGTAGGATAATAGCAGTTCATTTAACGTAGAGAGCGTCACTACTTCCACTACCTCCACTACCCTCGCTACTTCCACAAGCTCTAATAAAAGGTAAATAAATATTGACAACTGATACTTCGCATTTAATTTTTGGCTAACCAAGAATTTTTCTGTAACGATAGCACTTCTGATGTTCATAAGTCTATTGAAGACGAAGAATTAAGAAAGCTCCGCCGATTATGGTGGGAAGAGGGTAACATACACCCACAAGCAAAATGGGAAGAGGCCAAGTAATTTGTTCTAAAGTTTACCAAATATTTTATGGCATGTGATTTATATAAAAATTTTGCTGATAACACCAAGACTTCCATATGTCATTGCCAAGGAAATTACATTAGATGAGTATGAAAAACGCACAGATGAATTTAACGTCCATGGTCTTTGGGAATGGATCAATTATGAAATCATCATTTATGAACTCCCATTAAAGCACCACGAAACCTTTGTTGTTTCGATCACCTCAGAAATATTAGAGAAATGTCATCCTGTTAAACGAACTAATGCCGCAATCGGGGGTCTTGGCGCAACTCGTAATTATTAATACACTAACTGCTTCAGCTTTATGTTTGCAATATTAGATTAATATTTGTTTTCTTAAGGAACTCGTGCCGACAATTTCGGCAAGGAAGCTGATGCAAGTTTTCGACCTAAAAAACCACGAGTACAACCACCAAACGGAAGCGACGGAGAGGTACTATTGGTAATTTTGATCATGAACTTTTAGCACCAAGATTTTACATTTTATGATCCCAGGACGAACCCTGGCCAAATCTTATTATTGAAGTTGCGTATTCTGAAAGCGAACAGCATGCCTTAGACAAGGTGAAAAATTATTGGTTAGGTAATCTTGACCGTGTCCATGACGCAATAGTCGT